TGTCAGTTGAAACAAGAATTTGAAGAATAAATTATTTCCGTATTCCATCCTTCAGTCCTATAGCTAGTATTCCCGTATTAGTATTTACATTTATCTAAATTATCTGAAAAAAGTGCATAATTTTTGGTGAGTTTGGTAAGATTATTCTGAAATTTTCCTGCAGTTCAAAGCAAAAAGAGTGAGGAGAAACAAATTAAAGGAACTTAATGACTTTGTTTTCACACCAAATTATTCTTTATACTTAGACAAATAGCCTACTGTGTGCAAATTTCTGTGGAAAATAGCTCATCATTGTCAATGGTCACTGCAAGTAAGTTCTTAGGGTACTGCCTCATTTTTACTACCTGAATATCTGTGATAATGTTTTCACATTTTAGCTCTATCTTCTGTGAAATGGATCTTCCCAAGTCAGTCACAAGACTGGGAATGGATCCTTCTAGACCCTATTCCACTGTGACACAGTGAACTGTATGACTACAAGACCCAGGGCTTAATAAACTTCACATTCACCAAATGAAAAGCAGCTTGGCAAAACCTCTGAGGATGGCCAAAGCATCCATCAATAATTCCTCCTTTTTCACTGCCAGTTTTCTGCCAAGTCTGACATCTGGTTACCTCATTCCCTACAGGACATCACTGTGAAATGGCCATCAGGGTACAAGGTATCTGGACAATAGGCAATGGGGTTATCAGAGGTCGTAGTGGTTTGGAAACTGACATGTTTGTAAACATCCAAATTGGCAGGAAACCAAGGTACGGAGCTTGGCAGGGACATGCCGACTTTGTGCCAAAGTAACAAAAGGTTATCAAACTTGAATTGAAGAGACAACAAATCCGCTAAAGGTTGCATCTACTCGAAAACTTCTAGATGTGCGTACAAAAGCAAACATGCATCAGTCGCTGTAACTAAAGGGGGTATTTAATCTGGCATTCAAAGTTGTTACATTTTGGAATGAATGACACAGTTTATATGTGGCATGACCCTGTCCTGAAATCAGAAAAAGGAAAAGTCTATTGAAGTAAAGTTATTCCAAAAAAAGTCTAGAGTTGATATTTTTCTATTCATCTCATTACATTGTTCTCAGAACAGCAGATGCACAATTCTATGCGGTAGTATCTTATCATCCAGATGAGTAGATGTTTTATCAAAGGCATAAAAGGGCCATAGGCTGTGATTCCTGCACCACCATGCAAAATAATGGATCTATTCTTTTCATTCTTCATACTTTGCCAAAAATCAGAGTGAGATTTACACAAGAAGTGATTCAATTTGTCTGGCCTAATGACTACCTGTCAACCATCATGTTTGTCACTGTCACCGAGGGGGGGGGCAAAGACCTGAGGGTCACTTCACCAGACTCAGGGTTAGAAGGTAAGAGGGTTACTCCAGTTTTTTGTGACAGAAACGTCAGTCGGAGGAAAACTTGCAGCACTTGGCAAGGCCTCTTCAGGAAGGGTAGAGTTACGCGTGTGTGTGGCGAAACTTGCCAAATGTTCTTCTTTCTCTTACTCCCTGGCAAAGAACGCAGTCTGTTTCCCTATAGGGTTAAAACCAAGGTGGTTAGGGGTGCAGAAATTCTGCAACTGTATATGCCAAAGGGAGGGGACAGTCTGGAAAACTAATATGACACAGGCACTCGCTTTTAAAACCTAGACATTTAACTGTCAGAAAAGTCAAAAGAAGCACTCTCTTCAAAGGGACACAATTTTACCCAACTATAACTGTCTGGAAACAAGTAATGGAACATGAGAGGCAATAGTAATGTAGCACTAATTTACAGCACTGTGCTCTCATCTCCACCTAATCCATAAGGTACAATTAAAGGACATGAAGAAAATACACTGCGTCAGACACTTGGCATAAAAGGCTTTGTGGAGAGGCATTTTTGCACAGTCTGTATTCGTCCTAATTCAGGCTGTCTGCTCTGTCTGGCTTGGACAGACCCCTGCTGAAATACTGCACCACCTGAATACTGATCAACACCTGGGCGATTCTTCTCCAAACTCCCAGTCTGGAAGACCTCTAGTTACTTCTGTCTGTGTCTTGAACCTGCTTATATAACTGTCTGAACGAAACCTGCGTCTGCCATGGAACCTACGGTCATAGCACGTCTAACAAGAACCATGCATCAAACTTCTGATCCTGAAAATAATCTCCAGTGGCTGTTTTATGGGACATACATGTACTTACATGTACATGTATATATTATACAGCAGAATTTGACACCTATATTCAGACTGTGCTAGCTTAAAGTACATGTAAATACAACCAGACATATTCCTAGACAGATCCATCAAGTCTGTACAACTTTTGTATGATAAATCACAACTCTTGAGACTTCGACACTGACTCATAGAGACATTTTTGGCAACAACTATCTTCTCAAAGAATTCAGCAATGTAACATATGGGTCTTGCAACAAAAAGTTCTGACTACAATATTCTCCAACTCACAAGTGGGTGTACTTTCAAACTGTTGCATATTTCATCGTATTCTTCATTGCCATTAACCTGTCTGCCCTCACTACTTCTGGAGTAGTTGGAGAAGTTTTAACTACATCACTTTCTATTAAGATACACATTTCAGTGTCAGTGAACCTGGCATATATATTTGTTTTAACCATAAATAATTATGACATACCTGTACCTGCAGACCAAGAATAATGAAAATTATACTATCTACTATCCCTTTTATTTTTGAGACAACATTTTGAAAGAAGCATACACTGCATAACGTATGAAAATGTATATTTCAGACAGTTATAGAGCTACTCAGAAAACAGTATTCTTGATATTTTTCTAGTGACTACCCTATGACGGACATGTACGGATAAAATCTAAGACATAAGAATCAAAGATTGATGCTCATCTTTCAAGATTCTGAAGAAAAGCACGCCAAGAATCATCAGAACCTTCTGGAGCAATCCTTTCACCAGACGAACAGATCCTACGATTACGAGACAACCCAGAAAGAAGAGGTAACGACCACTAATCACTCAAGACGGACGCAGTAAATCAGCGTGGAGGGGGTTACGTTTTTTTCACGGACCACAGCTATTCCTCTCTGTGAGTCTCGTAAATTTGGGTGACAGAATCTCACTTCCAATCAGCTGGAGCTGGAAACAAGCTGAGTTTGGAGAGGCGAAGGAATACCAGAGCTATTTGGCTGGGTCAAGGCCTTGAACAGCCTTATCACTCAGCCAGAAAAACTAGGCCAGGGCGAAACACAACCCACATGTTCCAAACAAGCAAGAATATCAATGCTCTGCCCCAAGCCCTATATGTACATTAGGCCACACCAATTTAATTTCTTGGTTAACGGATTCGCCGCTTCATTTTTTTCCGATTTGCAAATAAAAATAAAAATCTAGAATCAACTCCAAAATGCTCATATTTTGCCCTGAACCGTTGACAGCAGACCTTTTCATCCTAGTTGTTACAGTTATTCCATCTTTCAATGCAATGGTATCATTAAAAGGTAAAAGTTCATTGTTTAAATTTTGAACCAGCCTGGTGTGTTGACTTCATGGCTCCTATCATACCATTTTGGGCCATAATACAATGCCTAGGCCTGTTTTTATTTTCTATTTTTTCGCCCGCCCGCTCCATTATTTTTCTAGAAAAATCCGTTAACCAAGAAATTAAATTGGTGTGGCCTTAGTTACCTTTGATAGTCCAGACACATGAAATGTTAAAGCTCTAAGAGTCCAAGGTATTAAAAATTGAAGAATGATAAGCTTAAGCCAAAATTTGATATTTTTCATATGATTAAAAGTGAAATAAGTAAACAAGCACCAATACCGTGAGTTACTGATCATGATCAGACTACAGTTTACCTTAGTAGTCAGTGTAAAAAAAAAAGTTGTCTAACTGACATTTAGTGCAACCTTCCCACTATGGTTATAGGCAAATGTAACAGAATATATCTTCTAAATGTCATAGTCATACTGCATACCTGGAGTCAGACAAAACAAAAATTTCATTGTCATTGGAGGAGTTACGGACACTGCCAAAGAACAGCGCAACATACACTCAGTTGTAAGCCCTTTGACTTTGGTCCTAAATTGTATAGCATGTCATTTAACACATGGCATCTGTCACATGTAGATCTGTGCTGATAACATAGAGGGAAATCAGTGACCTTCATGGACTCCACAGTGTAAAATCCAACCAGTCTGGTTAGGCAGCAAAAACATCATGACGTCATCATAATGTTGTCTGCTCAACTGCTGAACATGGTACTTGACTGTCCATGGGAAATGCTACATACTTTGGCTATCAGTTATGCCATATATAAATATAACTAAAATGCAAAAATGGTAAAAAGTGATGCACAAAAATGCCCCATACTTCACACGCATGTGTACACACACACACATTCACTCACTTACACACATATTTACACACACACACACATTCACTCACTCACTCACACACACACACATACACATATTCACACACACACACACACATTCACTCACTCACACACACACACATACACATATTCACACACACACACACACATTCACTCACTCACACACACACACACACATTCACTTACTCACACACGCACACACACACATTCACACACTCACTCACACACACACACACACACACACACACACACATACACACACTCACCACACCCTTGCAGACTAGGGGCAGGTAAAAAAAGATGGGGGGTTAGACAATGGTACCAAGGTTTTCAAATAATGCAGTAGAATGAAAGGAAAAGAGATTGTCAAATGAAATGCAAAATGTTTGCACTTTTTTGCCCGCAGTCCACTGTTCGGACAACTCCGAAATATGCTCTGTATAAGAATATGAGCCTATCATCCTTCCAAAGACTCCAGATCAACACGTACACACATACATGTTTCCACCTCTGCTATTACACCAGACAAGCCGTGACTTGTACTCCCTACACAGACACAGACACGCCTGCACACCTGCACGGTCGGATACTGTCACATTCACACAAGTTGAACAGGACGTCCTACCGTGCTGCTGCATGTAGCCGGCCACAAACAGGTCCAGCTCCCGCACCGATATGCTGATGTGGTGTGGCTGGACGCAGATGGCGGGGTGCGTGCAGTTGGCCGACTTGACCAGCCGCTCGCCGTCCGTGCTCTCCAGCGGGATGCCCTTGAACAGGATGACCATGACCAGGTCCAGCCGCCACACCTTGTCGGCCTGGCGCAGGCAGTCGATCCTCCGCATCTTGCCCTTCTGGTCGGGGTTGGACATGACGCAGCTCGGCGGCTTCTTCCCCGTCACGCTCAACACAAAGTCCTCGCGGTACTCTGGGCGGATGTCCTTCCGCAGCTTGGCCAGGAGCCGCGAGGCCCACTTCTGCTTCACCTCCGGCTTCTCGCTGAGAAGTTCCTCCTTGACTTGACGCTCCTCCTCGGGGGTCATCCTCTTCTCGTGCTTCTTGTAGTACTTGCGTTTGCGGGCCTGGAGGTTGAACCAGGTGTACGCAAACGATTTGACGTGAGGCAGTAACGCCTCAATGAAGGGATGGAACTCGTCCTGAACAAGAGGAGAGAAAAAAAACGACAAAACGTCAGCCTTCTGTCAACATCCTTTGAAATGAGACACACGAGGGACTAAAATCAATATCTGTCTGTCTGTAAGTCTTCTTCTTGGTAGACAGGAGGTGGACCTTTAGTTCAAGTTTGTTTAGATACCCCTTAGCCCATTGAGGGGCTAGCCTTCCTTGCCATAAACATATCAAGGAAAATTACGGATGAAAAATGCACAGGTACATTTGTTGGGTCATCAACGTCTACAGGTATATACATTTTGGTGGAAATAAATACTAGTAACATGTATTGTATCACCATATAGCATATCTACTACTAGTCTACAATCTAGCATACAATAGATGAGTTTGTCAGTTATTGATAGGATGCACCAACAGATACAGTAGGTTGTCAATCACCAAGGGCGGACAGATATAGGTATGGACACATAATTAGTCATCACTGTGTGGACTACCAAAGGAATCGGTATCTGTAAAAGAAAGTTTTTAGGGTGAAAAATTCCACTCAGTGCTCATTTTCCTGGAGTTTCATTAAATTATCAGCAAATATGATATAGTTCTGTGGCTACAGTTCTTTTATTTGGATGCCGCCATGACTGATACTGATCAGTTGTATATAATCTGGGCCCAGCCTGACTGACTGATATTTCTCTAGTCCTTTTCTCTGCACAACATATGGGGAAAAACAATGTGGGGGTCGTGCCACGTACTCAAGAGTTCCCAAAACATCCAAATTCCAAGGCGTCCCCAAGTCGTTCAAGTTACCTAAGAGGTGCTGGCATCTCGTTTAACATTTTGTGCCTCATATTTTCTGTGATCCGTGATGGCCGCGTGGGGAGGGGGCGTGGTCCCGATTTTCTGTTGCCCACCACACTTGCGATCGTCCCTGGAGACAATACTCCGTGAGTCACTGACCGCGGGGTCTCCCGTTACCCCTTTGGTACAGCGCAGGACGGCAGGAATTTGGGAAAATAGGAGGAGGGCAGGAAGCAGGGACGAGATGGCACCAAGGGACTACAAACAACACAGGAAGTTTCTGAACTTGACACTGGGAGGAAACTCAACAAACGTAGGTTGAGCCACATGCCTGACTCCAACAAACGTCAGTGTCGCCATGGCAACTAAACAGTTGCCATGGCAACGGAGACACGGCAGAACTGTGGTGCAAGCAAGCTTGCATCAGCTTACACAGGGGTGGATTAAAGTATAACTGTTACTTATGCAACAGTCTGCCAGGACAGAACTGTTCGGTTCAAACTTTTCTCAGCTCTGACAGGAAGAAAAGAACATGAAAATTGCACAAAAAAGCTAAAGCTCACAAAAATATGTTTTTTTTCCCTCCTCAGAAAACATAATGTGCAGTTTTCCACACAAAGAGAATCTATACCACAAAATATGACATATCTATAGCAGTCTTGACACTCGTTCAATTTTTACTGGTTATAAATTTTTCACATGCGGGAAGGCTGTCCCCTGGGATACATTCTACTTGACACTGTGTCCACAGTTACATCATAATGGGCCATACTTTCACTTTCATAGGAGCTATGGCAATCTTCCCTCTGGTTTGGAGGTCAGCCAGGTCAAGTTAACTACTATGCTAAGACAGTAAACTGGGTCCTTCGGGCTAAGGTTAGCCAAGCACTCCAACCAACCATGGATCCAACCCAGGAACTGGATTTTGGCAACAGCATCCAGAAAACACTGACTGATATACCAATCATGGAATGACATTGGGGTGGTGATATATAATGGGGCTACAGATTTGATATGAGCATAAATAACAATCTTTACATCAAATGGAAAAATATTCAAGATATTATCTGTTCTAAAATGGTTATGCTTATTATTGAAAATATGCTTATTGGAAAGGAATATTTTGTGGTCATCTGTTGCTATTTTTTTAATCACATCAGCAGTGACAGCGGATCCTAGAGCTAGCCACCAACAAATAGAAACAGCTGAAAGTAAAACTGTACGTATTAATAATTTTTCATTTAATAATTAACCCAGAATGTCAAGCAGATTGAGATCATTGACAATCCAGAGTTGTGTCATAACGTATAATATAATCCCACAATATAAGGAGGCGGATCTAGGCCTTTGCCGGTCTTCAAGACGGAGGAAAACCGCTGACTTATCGCGAGGCAGTGAAAGTAATTTTGCCCAATGAGTCAGACGCACGTCGCATTAAATGTTAGTGGTGGGAGGGGGGCGTTGTCTCGTCACGTACAAGCCGTCGCCTACAAAAATGGCCGGTAAAACTGGGACGGCAGCACGGGACAGTCCCTGCCGCAGCGTCGCCGTGCGAAAATTCTGGAAAGACGGCACACACGACGACACATGAAGCACACACGTTGTGTATAGGGGGTGGGGTGGGGGGTGACATGCCCACACGTAAACAACAGCACGTCGCACTGCGCACCAGTGCCAAGGACGAAAGTTGGGCCGATCCAGCGGGACGTGCCAAGAAAGCACCGGCCTCCCCCTGCCAGTCCCATCGATCTCTCCGGCGCTATCGATGATGCCCGCCGTCCTCGCCAGCGGGAAACTTTCCAACCAGAAAACACACAAAGGTTGGCCGAAATACCGCCACTAGTTAGAGAACTTACCATAGTCATGGTCTTGGATTTGGCGCCCGTTTTGGCTAACGGACCTGCAGTCGCATGCCGTGCCGCTGTCGCTGTCTGCTCGGGTGTACCCCCAGCTCCTGCCGCAGCGATCGCCGAGCAGACCGTCTAGGAAGTCAGCTGAGCGAGGCCTCAGCCGATCGATACTGAAGGAAACCAACGATAATGCCCCAGCTGAGGTCTAGGAGGCTCTGGATTCTCCCAAACTTGTGCTGTGGCGTAGTAAAATACTGATTCTGTGTTGTGCAATCTGTTTTGCCACCACAACGCTGTTTATTTCCGTGTCGCCACTGCTGCGCCGCCTGTCAATCAAGCTGGCATCCCGCCAATTAACGCTGAAGCGCTTTAATGGGAGGAAAGATCTAGCACCGCAGTAAAATGATTGAGGCTAAGAAATTGATTATCAATGATCACAGTACCTTAATTGAATTCATATACATCGTGCACTGAATATCAGTCGCGTATCGGAAAGGGTAAAGATTCTCAAAATTACATAAAGCAAGCAAATTATGAGGGCCTAGAAACTATTTGAAAAGTTTCAAAAGAAATCATTTACATATCTTGCCTCCCAGTACACTAACTTGAGGCGTATCCTTTCACTTTTTGGCTCCGCCTGCTCCTACCTTATTGGAACAGGGCCAAAATTACTGACCAATCACAGACCGCAAAATGTGACTCACCCCCTAGGGTGATTGACATGTAGGATGGGTGACGTTTATCGATTGTCTGGCGAGAAAACCTACTTTGATCAAAACTGTAAACATAAATTCTTTCCAGGAGTTTCGTAGTTATGCGAAGACGTTGGTCAAATGGTGGGGTTGGGAGCAATACAGTATCCTTAGAGCTATTCTCTGTTAAAGCTATGGGGTGTTAGCTGCAACTTTTTCAAAGTCATTCCGCCCCGGGCCTTGTGACGCAGTTTCAAACTTGGTGGCAAATCCCCCTATGGTCCAGTGACGAACTTTATAGGTCGTGTGGCGACTTCTCGGACGTGACCAGAGTTGGACACATAAACACTCCCGTGACAGGCCTAATTGTGTGGTAGCTGAAAAGGCAGTAACGGGACAGTAGACACTAAAAGTAAAGGCTCGCCAAATGCAAAAGATTCTTGGAAGAGTTTACTTTTGTGCCATAAACTGTGGTAGGAAGTACTCTCCAAGCAGGAACTACTGCAGTTGTATTGCGTGTTTTAGGGATTTAAGACTCCCAATGATATACCACTTAAGAGCCAGAAGAAACCAAAGGAAAGTCATCACTGAAGATCACGCTAAGATAAAACAAAAGCATGCATCTTATTGACGACACTGACACACTCTCAATGCCTTTTTCTTCGAATTTAACAACGGCTATTAAAAGGCCATGAAGTCATAAAAATATGACGAAGTTTAGGGGGGGAAAGTGCCAAACGTTAACACATGTGCATTGCCTGTTTTGCGTTGCGTAATTGCATAATGGACCTTCCACCTTGTTTACACATTGTTGCCATGCATTGCACGTGTTGGCGATAGCCCAGTTTCCCGCCAAATCAACAAGCTTGACCACGCCCCTGCAATCAGTGGACGCCAGCCGCTTTCAGCTGGTCAGTGCTGGTCAGTGGCGGCAAGAGCAGAACCATAGGAAGAAACTTCGGGATTTTATCATATCTTATACGTAACGTTTATGCTTGAGAAGGTTTACCATAAATAAGAGTCCCCTTATGAAGAGAATATGTTTATAACAAGCAAAGTTCACAGCTAGGGAGCTAGGAGAAGGGGTGTATTTGCTTACGAAGCACACTGTGCCACCAGTTCTTGTACATATACATATAGTATACATGTAGGTCTTGAAATTGTACTTTTTAATAAAAAGAGGACAACTAGCTATGTGCTATGTGTGGAGTGTTACCTTTCAATAAACGATAATAAATAGGTATGAAAATTATCATTTACAATATTGTTAATTTTGTCTTTCAAGAATGCAAAAACACATTCCTTTTGTTTATTTAATCCAAAACGTTTAAACTCTCAAAACATGTTTACGAGGCAGCAAAGTCGAACAAAGTCCATTATATTTCTGTCTGATGAATTTTCCACGGAGTAATTCAAGCCGACATGTGGTAGCTTTGCGTTCGTAGATTGTAATTTGGCTATAATAACGACTGCATGTCCTCAGCTCAGAGTGAAATGTACGACTAAAACTGCCCGTAGCGAGCGAGTTATATTTGCACTGTCACAGGGCAGGGAGAGGCCGATCGAGCACGTCTCAGAACGTCAGCGGGAAATCCAAGCTTGACCCTTCCCAGAAAACGCTCTCAAACTTCCACGAAAAACGATACTTCCGCCGGCTTCGAGTGCCTCAAACTGCACCCTTGGAGGATACAGATGTTTTCATTTGACAAGAGTTGGGAAACATCTGGAAGTTTTCCATTCGCATTGCGGTGACGGCGAACTGTAGTACAGCTCCGGTGAACTTGAAATCTAACTTGGGCTATTCCGGATTCCATTCACGTAAACGCCACAGGCTGAGTCGTCTGGCTGTTTGTAACCGGGAAAAAATGAAAAATGATTTGCTGTCTCCTTCACCTAAAATGGCACTAAAAATAATCACAAACATATTTTGCAATATCAACGAAGTGAATTGTTGACGGATAATTTAATGATGATATGAATACATATACATGTAACACTTGATGATATAGCCTCCGGACAATGCGGCAGATAGATCACATATGATTGTCATATAAGCAGTTGTTGTGTGCTATAAAATGGGGGCGTATTTAATGATTGCATCCCCATATACACTATATTCAATTTGACTTGCCATTGCACTGTTTATATGCATGATATAATATAATCGTATGTTTTCTGTAGGAGAGATAAACAGATGAACTCTCCTAGGCCAAGCGAGGTTTGTGGTTTGGCTTATTTTTGGCGTTTTTTTTTTTGTACTGGAAGCCTAAAGCACGCCCAAAATAAGCCCAAACCCAAACCTCTGCTTAAATTGGAGAGTAAAACTGAGGCAATGATTTTAAATCATCAGTCAGACCACACACACGCCCCCAACACACACATACACACATACTTACACACACTTACACACACACACACACACTTTCTACTATGTGGTCTTGTGCAATGTTCTTCGTTCAAGTGTATTTTTGTCGAGCAAAAATTGCTACCAGACCACGCGCCTTGACTTTGCCCCGCGGGTCACCGTTGACGTGTATCACCGTTTCAGTCGGTGACAGGTTGACCTAGATCTCACCTGGCCACCTGCCAACCTCACACACCTGTCCTTCAGCAAGGGAACACTACAACTCCCACAACAACAAAAGTCACCCCACCCTCGAACCACGTTTGTTTCCTTTGTAATTTACTAGCGTTAGCGCCACCCCGGGCTATGAAAAGGGGCTCGGCGATGGAGAGAGAGCACATACCATACGGAATCTGTCAATCGAGTTGGAGTTGAAAATGCAGGCAAAATCTTGACCTACTCGATAATTGAAGACGTCTGTGCCTGTCGTATATTGAGTTGGGCGATGTTTTGACTGGTATTTTGGCGAGATTGACCATAATTGCATGGCACACGTGCACTTTAACTAGCGCTGACGGTTTTACAATTACGTACATACGTCGCTTTATATGGAATCGAATATTGTGTCTGTTGCGGTATCATTGTCGTAGCCATGTTTGCTAGTCTTTTTCACTAAGATTGCAGGTTTTTTTTATTAATTATTTTTACATGTGCTATGATAACTCAATAGAGTACTGCTGTCAGTCTGTCGCCACCATTTTCGCATAAAGGGTAAGAAAACAAAATCCACAAATAATTTAGTATCTGTAACGTTATACCACAAGTCCACAGCTTTCTGGTCGGCAGAAATTCTTTCCGGAACATTTGAATGTGAAAAAATAGCTCTCATAGATATTAGAAAAACTATTACTTCTATGATCTTTTATATTTTCAATCTCCCGGCGTTTCTAAAGCTTTAAAATAAGCTTTAAATTTTTTTTTTTTTATTTCTATTGCAGCCCAACCATGGTGCGTGAAATGTCATGCATAGTTGGTATGTTGTATAAACTGTCTACAGAGCAGTGGAAGCAATACCCAAGGACTGGCTTCGGTAACGGCGCGAATCGCCCCATACATGACATAGTTCCCCTTCTCCCCAACAGCAACAGCTCTGTTCTTCACCGGGCAGATAAAACACGCCACCGTTTGGGGCGTCACTGCCATCACAGTCGGGGAATGTCAGCTATCTCTGCCTCTTAACTTCGACTCCGTTAGAGACACAAGACAGTCGCTTCTTCAGGCTCCCCGTCTGTCTCTCAGGCATGTCAGCGCATTACTGCGGACCACTGGTTGATTTAACTAATGCTTGATTGAAGTAAAAGGCACTTAACTTTCCCTGTTGCTTGTTTTGCAAGTAGTGAAACCATTTGTGGTATTCTCTCATTTCCAACACTTCGGAATGCAAACAAAAACCGCTAAGTGGGTGTTGTTTACATAAAGGCAGAAATGTGCATTGTACAAGCGCTGCCTAGCGTGCGTTGTGTAAACTGCACCAATACTCATCATCATGCATTCACCAATACTAAGCATTATTATTAGTTCATAGGTGATTTCAATGAGGCTGCAAAAGATATGGAAGCAACGGAAAGATGATAACAGATAAACGAGTGCAAATGTTTTGAGGCACTTGATCGAGGACCAAGATATTGCAATAGAGCTGAAAGAGGTACATAGGGGCGTGAGTTGTGAATCAACTACTAGTAAACAAACTAATTAATAACAATCTGCCAAACACAACTGTTCGTGCAGATCTGTTGTTTCTTTGATAGACTAATTGATTTTCAGTGCTGTTGTGAACACTTCTGTATACTAGTACATGTACAGTTTCGTTGACTTCTGACCAATCAGCCCCAACAGGGGGCGTGTAGCGAGGCTTCTACTGCAGTACTGACAAAAAGTGGCAGAGGCCGCTGGGAGACTGTCTGCAAATAAGCTCAAGGACACGCTGGAAGCTGCTGCTGAGTTTAAAATGATTTGACAGACCAAGGACATAATGTCCTTGGACAGACTTTGATCTATTCAGCTGGCACAAAGTAGGCTACGAAAATAGTGGTGGAACTTGAATGTGGTAGCCAAGAAATTCCCGGACACAAACAAGCTTGTAGTGCACAGTTCCCTCATTGTTCACAAATCAAACAAAATTCCACAATTTTTAGAGGATAGACATGCATCTGTATGTCAAACTGTATACAGAATTAACTAAGTTATCAAATGCAATCATCTACAACAGACTGCATAAAATACATGCGCTTCATGCCCATTTAGTTTTCACACAATATATGCTCTTTATAATCTATGTAGATTAATGAATACAGACAAAATTTCAATAATCTAATGAATGTATAGTCCTGTCAATTTGTTCCACACATTGTCAGTAGTCCAAATTAAAAACATAATCAAATGAAAACTTTTGCAGTACATTCATTTTTAAATCAAGTCATGTGCATTCAAATTCTCCACATTATCATTTCAGGGTTGGACCAGAAATTAACATTTTCCTTCTAATTCCTTTCTTAAATTCTGTTCTGTAAAACCTGTTGTTATATTGAATATTTTCAACTCCTACTCCTATTTCCATACGCCCCTCTGGGTGCCTACAGCTCTTCCCGAACTTAATAGTAACTAGAAAGTTTTACATTAATAATAAATACACCCTATCATGAAAGTTCATCTGTGTTGGTAGATACATGTTTAAAGTTAAAACTTTTGGTCAAACACAAAAAATTCTCTCACCTAGAGCTTTCGACCAGTCACTCTGGTCTTCCTCAGCAGACTGATCCAGCGAAGCTTGTCAAGTGGCTTCTTTGAGGAAGACCAGAGTGACTGGTCGAAAGCTCTAGGTGAGAGAATTTTTTGTGCTGGACCAAAAGTTTTAACTTTAAACAAACAAATACATCCTATTGTCCTCACACCCCACCATTGCACACTGAAAGAAACATTGCAAAAAATGCTCCGTGCATTCATCAAAATTACTATTATGGATCTTTCACCAAAATATCATGGATTGTTATGGATGGTCATAAATTATTGTCTTGCAACTAGGTACTGGCAGGAAAAAAATCATGAGCCATACATAGTAAAATGTTGAAATTTATTTCAACACAAGGGTTACACAGAGATCAATGCGACAGTGGTTGTTGAAAATTTGATCTCTCTGTAACCCTTGTGTTGGAATGAAGTTCAACACTTAACTATTATGAAAATTTAAAACTGTTCTCCAACTCATAAATTTAACTCACCGTAATTTTCGACTGAATAACTCAGTCTTCCTCTGCTATCTGACCCAAATGCTGTGGACACGTGATTTTTCCCACGTGTGACGTCAGCAAAGGGTCAAAGGTTGTCTGAAGTCATTTGGGTCAGCATTTGGGTCAGATAGCTGAGGAAGACTGAGTGATTCAGTCGAAAATTCCAGTGAGTCAAATTTATGAGTGGGAGAACAGTTTAAATTTTTCATAATGTAATTTACCAACTCAGATGAACTTTCATGCTAATATGAGCCATACGTATCTCTAAGTAGTATTTAGACACAATCAAAAATCATGAGCCATATCTTTTTCCTAGCTTATACAAAGTCCTAAGGAGCTATTAGCTCCTCGCATGGTAAGTTAGGAAGGTAAACCTGAGATCTCTCCATCACAGCTACATGTACATGTACATGACCACCTGTACGTCACAGATGTAGAGTTCATGATTGGCCATTGCCTTTAGCATCTTGATTTTTGATACTTGGTTTGTATCTGTTCAAAAGGACTGACTTGACAAGTCATTCTAGTCTATCTCTAAACTTCACCATACAAATATAGCACATTCAAAAAGTGTGTTGGCATTCATATATCAGTAAAATATGTAAATATCTTTAGTCAAAATCCATTCACTGTACACACACACCCGTAGTAGTCCAGTTTTGCAGTTATTCCTATTGCTGGCAATAAATGTTCTACTTATCTGATTGCAAAAAGATAGGAAAAACCAGCTCCATGAAGCCTTTACATGTGTTTGTAGCAGGTTCACCTGCTGATATTATCATCAGAAAGCAAGTGTTTGTAGTAGAGTATCAAAATTGCCTCATAAGGCCACAACAAGTGAATTTTATGGATGACATCCTCCGCAGACTCTAAATCTAATGTGAGTGGGCGAAAAAAAAAAACAAGGCGGGCCAAAAAAAAACAAGGTTCCTACATTTTAAAATTTTGACTTAATCATTGTACAAATGGTTTTGATTCAGCGGGAACATAACACATACACAGCCAACATCACATATCACTGCAGCAAAGTAAGAAACAAAACATTAAATCAGAGCATTTTCTAGTCTCCTCTCCTCATAGTTATCTGCCATCCACCTTCCGGCATGGCAACAGACATCTTCGGCATGTTGACCACTGTCAGAAGGCAACAAAATTTCTTGTTTTTTTTTCCAAAATCAGGCGAAAATTAATGCGCGCGCTGATGTCATCCATAAAAATTACTTGCCTAACCACTTATTCTACAGCAGTACAGTACAGTGCAGTTTTGCCATGGCTTATTATAACTTCCAAAGAGCCCCTACACAAGGAGCTTCAAAATACTAGTACTTGCCCTACATGTGCTTGTAGTAAAAGTACTCGCAACAATGACATCCTCGGAGCTTCTAAGATGTGTCGTTATAATCTAACTGATTATCGAATAATTTCATCCACAGAGCCCCTACATGTGCCTGTAGTAAGAGTACCCAGCTTGTGCAGTTATTGCCCGTCTCCTCCTAAGAGGCCAGAGCCAGCAGAAGACATTCTTAGTCCCACAGATATCTGAGAAGGCCTCGTGGATTGCACGTGGACTTGGCCTACGGGTGGAAACAACTCTACAGTTTATAATTGTGATAATCAATTTTTTTTCTAACAGCTTTATTCAGTATACAGGAAATCATACAAACAAAATCATATACAGTGTACATAATAAACAGATATAAAGTAAGGGAAGATAAAATAACATCAGGTAATCATTCATAACAAAAGAAAGAGGTGTATATATATATATATATATATATATATATAGATATATATATATATATATAGATTATATATATATAAGAAATCATATAACTTTCATAATCCATTCAGACTACAACAATATTATTCTACAATAACATTAACAAATATGTACATATCACATTTTTTAGCACCCTTGTATCTGTTGTGTTGAGTATGATCATTATGCAATTATGAATGAATAAGACATTCATTTTGCAACATACCCACTGGGTTAGGTACAGGTCACACCAAAATAGTAGTTTACAGATCCAGACTGTACATGGACTGTACATGTACACTCTCAAGCTAGCACTAGTACCATAGTTTATTAAGTGAATACTCACACTCCTGATCTGAAGTAAGGGTCTGCCAAATTCTCCAGGGTTGTTCTGTCCTGTAAGGGGTGAGACAGATGTGTTAGAGTCACCAGTGTTCTTGTTGGGAAAAGGAAAAATATCAGGCATTTCTAGATGACTTTTTGACCTCACCTAGCCTGGGTACCAAACCTTAGGTCAGCTTGGCGGTAATTTTTCGGCCCCAGCCTTTACCAAGCACAGGCGAGTTATACCACGGACCTATCACCAGCTGATTTCCCTGTATCTGCTGACTTCCTGTATTACGCTTAGTCTTCTTTTGCCGCCGACCCAAGTGTTGTGAGCGAAGAAACCAACCCCCCCCCCGGAGTGCAGTAATTGAGGCCTGGTTGGCGACCCCAAACGCTCTCGGCGCCGAAGGAATAGCGCTGAGCTCACGGCGGTCTGGTTAACCAGGCTAGACCTCACCCTACCCTAGTACTTAAAATGGCTCAGACCCTCTTACCAGAAGGGCTTAACTGTAACAAGACTGCAAATAGCAGACAATTTGTCTTCCTCAATGCATACATAAACAGCATAAACATCAACAAATTGCTTTCATGTGGCTAGGGGTCTCATGGGAAATTACCCACAAAAAGGTCATAATTTGAGTCGTCAAGTTTGACATCTGGAACACAAGGACATGAAGAAATGATGCCTCTTGTTTTCTAGAATCAATGTCCTGAATGTCATGACTTACTAAAATGATGTTGAAGGTCTGTCCGAACACCAGACCGATGGCAGCTGGGAAGAAGAACACACCCTGTCCACAGGTGAACCAGAGGAGGGGGCGGGTGTAGCTGAAGGGGAAAATGCCCTGCAACAAGAACAAGAATTCGGAGATCTCATACCTCCATGAAATATATAAGTTTTTGTAAATGTTTTTACACAGTACACTACTGTACTGAACAAAATAACACACAGGTTTGTGTTTTGAAACACACAGTAGCACCTTTGGCCTGAATATGGTCATGTAGGCTATTCCAGAGGGAGAACCTCATTAATCAAACCGGCTGTCTCCACCCCGCACATCTGTTTTCCCTGCCACCCCGCACATCTGTTTTCCCGGAAGTTCTGCTGCAGTACCAAGGTCAGTCACCAGGAGGCCCATATTTGACCTTGACCTTTGGCTTTCTAGGACCTACCAGCATACCAAATATCATCACAATCCATAAAGGCGCTCTGAAGTTATGCTGACTACAAATGTGCAGAAACACACACACACACACTTGCACACACACACACACACACACACACACACACATACATACATACACACACACAGAC